TTCCATATGTTACTTTTGATTTAGCATGTATATCATTTTTTTATATGAATAAAGCTGAAAAACACATTATGTATTTTTTTATTCCTGTGAACTTAGCAATAGAAGGGCAATGTTATTTGTNACTAAAGGGTCGTAATTGGATGCAGTACTCAAAACATTTATTCCATATGTTACTTTTGATTTAGCATGTATATCATTTTTTTATATGAATAAAGCTGAAAAACACATTATGTATTTTTTTATTCCTGTGAACTTAGCAATAGAAGGGCAATGTTATTTGTTTAAGTATTTCAACAAACATTATCACTTCGTTCGCACTAGTGAGAGTTCGCGGTGTCACGTGCGGTCATGAAATGGGTTGCCGAAACACAATGTCGGGTGTAGCTTGCACCAGTTTTCCCACAATTTGTGGCACGTACTTGTTTTCCATCAGAGCACCGAAAATATTTACCGGGTCTGACTGGTGATCGAACATCATGCTCCTAAATCACCATGCTCTGTGTGTCGCAGTTATATAGTAAGAATAGTTTCCATGTCAAATTACAATAAACCTAATTGTATTTTAAATAATATTTTCTAACTATATAACTTTTAGAAAAATATCCTCAGATTCTGATTACCTTTTAATCGAAATATTCTGTAACTACTTCAAATCCTAGGTTAAATTATAGATACACGAGTAAAAATCATTACTGCACTTTCGGTTTACTGGATGACGAGTTTAGACGTCAAACATTGGCACGTGTCATAGAAACTCTGATTTTAATTGGCATTTTTCCATGCTAATTGTTTTACAGGTATATCAATAAATACGTAGACAATTATTACCTATTACATTACAAACCTTAGAGCAAGAAGAGTATTAACCATGTTTCTGTCGACTTTCCAAATTTTTTTAAGTTTGCTTATTATATCTATTCTAGTGATATATTCATTAGGAAAGAAATGGAGTAACAGCAGAAAAACACAAAAAAAATTATTCGTCTTCCTCTGCAACTGCAGGTAAGAAAATCTTTTAAAATGTCGTTTATTTTACAAAAAAGAACTTTATAACGGTCTTCGGTTAAGTAACTTTTTCGTGGTTTTTTATGCAACATTTACGAATATTAAAACGAGGATAACGAATTTATCTACAAATTTTTTCCGCTTAAAATTATAATTTTTAATGCTCCGTTGACAATTATTTTAAATGATTGCAACACATCCCAGACAAATCTAAATAAAGAGTATTTTTGTGTTATTATTTTTTAAGTGTTACTAACTTTGTTATCCTAAGAATAAAACGTATTCTCGTTGGTTTATTTATAAAGATAAAGGTGTGGTTGGGAAGTAACTGCATTTATCATTACTTTTTATTTTTCGGGTATAAAGAAAGTTATTTGTAAGTAAAGAGTTTGTCCTGGTGCGGGTGATTAAAACGTTAATGTAAGGAACGAAAATGTGGAAATGCCGGTATATGGGCTGTCGTTAAACCAAGGATAGTTTTTTTATGGTTTGGAAGTGGCTTCAGATGTCTTACTTGTTGTGTTGGTGATCGAAGTTACTGATAGTTAGGAGAACTTCGGGAGTTATAAGACTGGTTAACTGTGTTTGGAAAATTGCTATTAGAAAGGTCGTCTGCTTTGTCTTTGATGTCGATACTAACGTGGAGGAAGTCCAGATAAAGTGTATGTGCTCGTCGTGTCTGTACTGTTGAGTAGTTTGTTATGGATGCTGCGGATGATAGTAGGAGATTTGTCATTGCAGTTGTTTAAGGCGAAGTGGAAGGATTTGCAATCGGTTGAAATAACGGCACGGGTAGGTCTATAGATAACATATGTGATTGCATGCAAGATGGCATAGCCCTTGTCGGTAAATATGGTGGAATCTAGCAACTAGTTGCTTGTTATTCCTAGAAGCGTTTGAAGGCGCCATCTGTTATCATATTTTATTTTTAAAAGTATATACTTTTAGCTGTTATAAAATGGTTATAAGTTAAATTTTAAAAGTGAGGAAAAGTTTTATAAAAATTTTAAATTCTAATAACCAGTAAAATCGTCATTAAGCTCCACCCTGCTGGAAACAAACACAACCACTTTTATCTCCCCATCCTGTCGACTCAACTACCGAAATAGAATAGCATCAATTTACCTCTGTAATACGCTTCTTGTCTAGATTTACATTTAATTTTACGAGCTGTATGACGATATTTTTTCCGCTAGTCTTACTACACCATCAATTACAAACAGGGCAATCTTTAGAAAATCACATTTTTATTACTTTAAGTATGAATTTCAAACTTCGTTACTCTTTTCAAGTCTTTGTGATGTAACTGTTTGGAAAATAATGCACACAAGTTAACATAAAATTTTTGCATTGTTACAAAATTTGTAAAAATTTTTAACTTACATGGTTATGAGAAGCACAGAAATGGTGAAGATTGATAACATACGGATGATAATTATTAATTTACAGGTGTTTGGTATAGCATTAGATACAATGTTAATGATTTACAAGAACGATATATATAAAATGGTGTAAAAATTGTAAGCTTACAGTAGAATCGATACATAATGTAAAAATAGCAGTTAGAGGCAAACAATATACATAAAATATACAGTACACTGTTAAAACAATAACACTTAAAACTGTGACATTGAAAACTGTTTTATCATTAAAACAACAAAATAAAATCATAAAGTACAAACTAAGTGAACTTTTAAAACAATAAGATAATATACTTATTTACAGTAACATCGTAACACATCGTGTTACGATGTCACTTTAAATAAGTATATTATCTTATTGTGATATGGATACCACGTTTTATGTAATTTTTGATTTGTATTATTATTTATCATTCTATCTTTGATTTTTAGTATTTCTAACCGTTCATACAATCTTTTTTTGTATACTGGATTTTTTATTAACCATTGTAACTGTAATAATTTGGCAATCTTTACTGTTACAATGAACTGCAACAGCCTAACTACTATTATTATATTTAATTTCGGATATGTGTCCTCTAAGCTGAGTTCGTAAATTACGTTTTTATGGTCCCATATATTATTATCATTATCATGAGTGTTTATCTTCCTATTCAAACAACGGATTATTTCGAGCACTTAATTATACCATGTTTGTGTTTATTATTTTCCATATTATTGATCCAGTTGTTCATTATGCATTTGTTGTAATTATTCATTAAAAACATTTTTATTGCATCTTGTGTTTCAGTTGTTTTGGTGGTAAGCCAATGATCGAATAGTTTTTGTTTTTATTTTTTTAATTTTTAAAATAAGTAATTCGACAACGCTACAGAGCGCTATAGTATAACTCAGCATAATGACAAAAGTTAAAGTGGCAAATTTGATTATTAATATCTCCAAGACCAACTAACCGATTTGGATAAAATTTAAAATATTTATATTTAATGTCCGCGATAAACAGTACGAAAGTGCTGAACTTTAAATAAATTCTTTGGATCGTTTTGGCAATTCCAAATTCTGCAATTTCGACTTAATTTACAACGAGGGATTTTCGCGACACCAAGATAATGGAAAATCTAGAAAACGTCTGCATACACTTAAAAGTTCTTTTGACAACAGACCACCTCTTTTTTGGTGTCTTTGAAAGTTTTATTTCAAAATAACGAGAATTTATAAAATTAAATTAATTAAATAACTGAAGAATTGTGTAAAAATCGACAAAAAGTTTATGACCAAAAATTTGTTTCCATTCTTACTACATTAATAATACAACTAGTGAATTTTATAATTACGCAATAATATTTAGCGTTATAAAAATTCCAGCGGCGAATTATCAAACTTTACCGACTGTTAATAGATTTTACTTTAAAAAATCACTTTTATATCTATAAATATACTACTGATAATATGTGTGTAACTTCATAAGTTATAAGATTTTAAAAATATTTTTCCATTATTAATTATAAAATTGTAAAACACTTAATTTTAACAGTAAAGATAAATTTTATAAAATATTGTAAACTTTAATAACTTGTAAAGTCTTCGTTATATTATACCTTTATATCTCTCCATCTCTAGACCTTAAATTACTAAAATTTAATAAAATCAATGACAGGTCACTATGTCCAGGCCATTTAATCAGAAACAAAGTGCTTCTACTTTACTGAAGTGTCTACAATACAAGGAAACAAAATTTCGCAATAAAAATATTTTTAACAAGTTAAAAAAAATCTACTAATTATTCGAAAATATACATTTTGCATATCCTAACATGGATAACGAAACTTATTTGTACAATTGCTATACAATATATTAAGTACGTGTATGAATAAATCAAATGTAACAAAATGAAAACAAAATACTTTTATGACATACGATATATAGTTATTGAGCTGCGATTCGAAATAACTGTAGGCCTATAAATTCCTACTGTCCATTGACTGTCTGATAGTCATTCCTTAATTTGAAGAAGGAGGAAAGATATACTAAGGAGACAAGCCGTGGACACTCTTCGCAAGTGCGGCCCTGAATAATTATATACGAACATTCGTTGAAAATCAGAAGTCAAATTACTTCAATTCAAATATTTTCCTTTGAAAGTATTTGATAGATGACAGGTATTATTTTGTTGTTGATGAAAAAGTATGATGTACAGGCGCAAGAAACCACTAATTTAAGTCGAAGGCGTATATTGTAAATTAAATTAATTAAACATAGGTTAAAAAGTTGCTGCTCGGCATTCTGACGATGTCGCAATAATGATTGCTCGTTATCAACTTTTATTTTTATAACAGATATTAATTTTTCAGAAAGTAAAGACAACGGCCAGGAGTTAAAAATGAATCTTCCGTCTATGTCCCTTTTACCACTTTTGTGGAACTTTATATTTTCTCAACGTGACAAGCAATACCACAATTCATACATGGGGATATGTATGTCAATAATATTTTATTGGGTAATTTGACTGTTTATAAATACGTAAATATTTTTCGTATTTTTCTAGTTGCTTTAAATTTATTCACTGGACTCTCTACGCTATTTCCAAACGAGAAAGTTGTCTGTATGAACTTATTTGGATGTAAGTTTATTGTTTTCTTACATCCAGAATCTGCAAAGGTAATAAAACACCTTAGTTATGTAATAAAACACTTAGTTATGTAATATATTCATTACGAATGTAAATATACAGTATTACGTTTTGTAGGAAGTGTTAAGAAGCAACAGTTTAATCAATAAGGATTTTACGTATGATTTCTTAAAGCCATTTCTCGGAGATAACAGTCTTCTGTACAGGTAATACATTATTTGATATTTAGTTCAAATATCGTTGTTTACAGTTATCTGAATTTAATTAAATAAAGTTCTGGCGATAATTGGAGAAGAAGAAGAAAATATTTAGCTCCACATTTTAATCTTTGGAATGTGAAAAATGATCAAAATGTATTTATGGAGCATTCAAACGTCTTAGTGGAGAAACTCAAACAATTGCAAAAGAATGAAATATTCGATATCCTGGAATGGATGAAATATTGCACTCTCGNACACTTTGAATTTCATACCAATTGGTTTCTGCGACAAGCACACTTATTTGTGGTACATTTATTTGTGGCAAAGATCTTATTTTCACTTTATCGAGTGCCTAGTAGGTAATGTGCGGATTACCTAGATACTCTGCAAATTATCTAGGTAATTTGAGAAATGGAACAATTTTCACAACTTTAACGGATCACGCTAGTTAATCTGCAGATTAGCTAGGTAATCTGCAGATTAACGAGTTTCCGAGCTTTAGCGGTAACATATACATATATATGTCACTTCAACAAAAGTAAGCTATTAAACTTCTCTTAACGAAATTAACAATGAACCGGGGCAGAAATTCAAACACTTTTCAACCATTTACACGTGTCACGATAATTACGAATTTATTCGTGTGAAATTCTGACACGCTGGACAACTTTCTTTCTTGTGTAACTGCAATTTTTATTAACACTATCTGTGACTAGCGAGAGTAGTGAGAACTAAAGCTGACTATAATCAATTTTGTATGACCTAACTGATTACTTTCCTGTTTCGTACAGTACTATATATTTTTGTGAAACTATTTTGTTTTGTCTTGCCTTCCCGAAAGTGAATATCATTTTCAAACGAGGCATGTTAATTTATTTAAAAATATAAATATCAATTTATTTCTATGTAGACATAGCAGTAGGAGTTTCTCTACATTCTCAGACTACAGACGATCAAGAATATGTGTCCGCAATGCACAGGTATGGAAAATTCAATTCCAGATATATTTTTTCATTTTTCGAATAATATTTACAAATGTAATATTTATATTAAATAATATAAAGTTAGTTTATATGTGATGAAATTTTTAAAATGTTCAACTTCAGTAGAAGGAAAACCTTCATAATTTTGATTATTTATCAATTAACCGAATATTAAAAGTTTGCACATTATAAATGAAGTGTTTTAGCTATACGTGCTGATGGTAATAAAGATACATAGAGAGAAGTATCGGGTTCTAAGCGTGTTCATTAAATATGTATGAAAGATTTTCAAATTAATTTAATTATCAAATGTATCGTTTTAAACTTCACGTATTTCGTACACGTGAGAGAAAATCTGTAACATCAACGACAAATGTTTGACAGATCAACTTTCCACAAAGCATACCGTGGTTATAATAAAATAACTAGTATTTATCCATCTTTGTGTTTTTCTTCTGTTGCCTCACTACTATAGAAGAAGTCTTTATGATAGCGAAAACTTAACGTTTAGACATCCAATCACAATATAAAAATATACAGTCCAGCAACTTATTTCTAATATTTCTCAAAAACAAATTAATTACGATATGAAATAATTACACAAATTTATGAATTTAAATTAAATTTTAAAATTTTAAATTATTTGAACTTAAAAAAATTCTATACTGTTTCACACATGAGATATATAATGTTAAAATTTATGTAGATTTAATAGTTGACAGTATTTTATTATTTACCCAAGCTGTAAATTTGCATTAATTTTCTTTTGATATATTAATAAATTTATATTATGATTTAGAATTCTGAAAATTTTACCTGAATGGATAGCAAATCCAATGTACTGGTTTTTTCCAATTTTCTTTACGACTAAAATAGGAAAAAATTACAAGAGGGACGTAGAAATAATTCATCGTTTCGACGAAATGGTAAACTCAACTTGTGAATGAAATTTTTGTTTTGACTTAAGTAATTAGTGATTTAATTTAATGCGTAGGTGTTCAAGAGAAAAAAAGAAAATTTTATGAAAAAAATGCAGCAGCAACATTTCTTAAACAAAGATGCACGACATGAAGAGGAACCAAAGAGGATAGCAAAACAACGTCTTATCGATTCCCTGTTAGATCTTCATGTTAAACAAGGTTTAATATCGGAAAAAGACGTTATTAGAGATATGGAAAGCTTTATTTTTGCGGTAGGCATAATTTATTAAAGGTGTAATCGGAAATAATTATATAATCGTGCACGCATGTATTTCAATGATATTATATTCATTATTTTGAAGTAATTTTTTTCTAAACAACGTATTGAAATATAAGTAATTCCACAAACAGTTAACTTGGCGACAAAAAAATTAATTAACGTAAAACCTGTTTCAAAAATAATCATAATTACTTTCTTGTAATTAGAAATTGTATTTAATTTAAGATGTTTGTGAAATCATTACATTTCATTCATAATTAATTATTACAGTAAATAATATTTGTAATTTCGGTATTAATTACTGTATATTTTCTCTATTCATATAGACGCAGGAAAAATATAATTTTGAAAAATTTAAAATGTGTATCTACTGGTGATTTTTAAACATTATTAGTATAATTATTGTGTGTAATTAAAGCACGAAATTCGAGCCTTACTTTTTCGACTTAACATCGAATTCGGTTTCTCTAATGATTATATAATATAGTAGTTTGTAAATTTGTGACTCAGTTTTGTAAGCTATTCTCTGTTATCTAATTATCTTTACTAGTGTAATTAATAAAATTCCTTTTATAAACATTATTGAAAGTATTCAAAGCAAGTAATGTCTGAGGTGATGACCGAAATATAATAACAGAAAAAGTCGTAAATATACGTCATATATTATGACTTGTAATATGTTGCCGTAAGTCAAGATAATTCAAGATGTGTATTTAACTTTTTCGTTCGACTAATTACACAGTTTGTAAACAATTTAACGTGTACTTCGTCCATTGACTGGATTATGCTCTGCCGGAATCGGGAGTAAATAAAGATAAAGTTAAAGTACGAAGAACTACGTTAACTGCTTGCTGCAAGGAATGTGATCGTGCATTGTAAACTGGTATGACAGGAATATAAAAGAATTTGTGCATTCCATATCCTAATTTTACAAGTTTATTATACAGTATTTATTTTACTGCAAATGTCAGTTATACAAAAAGAAGTTTTACATTTTTTTTCAACGTATTTTAATATCAGGGTTACGATACAACCTCTAACGTTATGTCATGGACTCTTTATTTCCTGGGAAGATTCCACGAAATACAAGAGAAAGTGTATCTAGAATTTCAAGAAATTTTCAAAAATGATATGAAAAGAGATATCACTATCGATGACCTGACGAAAATGACGTACTTAGAATGCGTAATTAAGGTAACTTTTTACTTTCTTTAATACATTCAAGGATTAGTTTTATATGTTACAATTTTTAGGAGTCGATGAGAATCTATTCTCCTGGTTTTTTAATAGCAAGAAAAAACCCATCGGAAATGAAAATAAGTAATTTTTGATATCTTGAAATTTGTTTTTCGATAAAAATATTTTTTATTTTTTATTGACTTGAAGAACTTAATCGTTGTCATTGAAATAGGTAATTACGTGTTGCCTGCAAATTCGACTCTTATCGTAAATATCTGTGGCATTCATCATAATCCTTCCGTTTACGAAAATCCCGAAGTGTTCGATCCAGACCGTTTCTTACCTGAAAACTATAAAAATCTTCATCCTTATGCATTTCTGGCATTTTCTGCCGGGCCACGAAATTGTCTCGGTAAGTGATTAGTGAGTAAATACAAAAACAAAACAAAATATTATATTATAATTTTTTAAATTTACAAGATATAAACTTGCCATGATTAACATGAAAATGGTTTTAGCAAATGTTCTTCGTAATTTTAAAGTTTACTCTTTGGATCCTCAGGATAAGATCGTTACTTCCGTGGAAGTTCTTTTGACTCCAGTATCAGGTATAAAAATGTGTGTAGAACAAAGACGTATGTTGTAAAATATGAGATAACCTGATCATTGGGGTAATTTTTATTACAAATATATATAAACATTGATCTGTATAATATAATCTAGAAAAGTGCACTTAAAAACTGTATCGAAATAATTCTACGTATTATTAAACTTTACTCATAAATTGTAATTTACATTTTTATAGGTAAAAGTGATGAAAATAAAATGTATTATGATTATTATTATTAAATCTGGTTTACAATAATATTATTTTTCGCTGTTTGTTACATTTTATTTACTTATCACATTGATAATTTCTGATATTTAAGTTTACGTAAATTTAACTGTTTTTAACAATCTATGGTTGGTCTTTATCTGTATTGCATAAAATAGGCCGAACATAAATGATTTAGGTAATGATGTGTTGAATACAATATATTTGTATTTTATTTTAGTATTTTTCTTATATGCTATAGAATGAACATTATACGAATTCAAATTTAATACAAATATATAAAATATTTGACTACTTAATTAATATTTACCTTTCATTAATACAAATACTATGATTATATGGCAGAGAGTTCGATAAAACCTACTTCCCTTTCATATAAAATCAATACAATTTCCAAAGAAAAAGGTCCAAAACTTAACACGATATTATATATTATAGGAATAAAAATTGAATTCCGTAAATGAAATACAATTTTTGTACAAAATTACAAGTAAAAAACTTTAAATGTATAAATTGATGTGATGTTCTGTACTTGAAAATTGTAAGCCACAGTGAAAACAAAAATAAAAACATTGAAGTAAAAATCAAAGGAGGAAACTTGTTTTTTTTTCATACTGTTTATACAGATATACGTTGTGAAATGTTTTGATTGTAATAAAAATATTTTCTGCAAAGAAATGTAAAAGATGTAGTTATCATCTTTATCCTTGCTTAAGTTGAGCGTTTAAATCTATTACGGTATTTTTACCTTCTTATCTGGGATTTGCCTATATCTCTTCGATTAGGTATTAGGTGCTCAAATTAAGTGCGCATAACAAAAACCAGACTCGTAAGTTCTCGGGAGACCGAGAATATTGTCAAAATAAATTTCAAAATAGCGACACTATCTAGAAACAGGCAGCAGTGCGAGATTTGCTCATGAATTGCTCATTGGAAAGTTGGAATCGCGAACGTTGCTAAATGGTATTTTATATTAAAACTAACTTCCGAAATATAATTATCTTTTTTGTACATTTATTAATATATTTTGTGCAAAATAAAAAAATAATAATTACGAACGATACAATCGCCAGTATTATTTTTTTTCAAAAATAGGAAATTTTCGTTATCTATTAACAAAATTTCAACCCTGGGCAACATGCAACGTTGAGAAATTTCAAAGTTGGATAGGTCAATTTAATAGGAAATTTCTTCTCAAATTATTTTATTCTAAAAATAAATATTTTTAGTTGTGGCCTTGTACTATATCCGCAGTTAAAAAGTAAAAGCAAACGATACAAGTTGCAGACCATATCAAATAGAATGGTTTGACAAATATGGTGTGATTGAAAAAAATAAAACGACTTTGTGTGTAATTTGTTACGAAAAAGTCACTTCACGTGCAGTACATATAATATAAAAAGACATTCTGAAAAGTTCTATTCTAATCTCGGCTTTTCAACAGATAAGGAAAAAATTTAATTTTTACAAAGAAAAAAAAAAATCCAGTGTTTTAAAAACCTTTTATGATTCCAAAAAGTAACATTATAGGTGCTAATTTTCAAGTTGCCCATTGCATTGCTCGCCACGGGAAACCTCTTTTAGAAGGAGAGTTTGTAAAAGAAGTGTTTTTAGAATGTGGTGCTACTTTGTTTGCAGATTTTAACATATTATGAAATTAAAATAAACTTAAATAAAAGTTAATTAGATCTCAATAATAATGATAAAGAACGCTTTTAGCCCACCACTTTAATTTAGATAGAGTAAAATAACGTAATAAATAGGATTCTAACAATTCAGAGAAATTATGACATCAAGGCTGACCGAAAAACAGACCAGATCCTTTACAAAAGTCAACTACCATAAAATGCATAAGACTGTACGAAGCCAACTAACTGCCTTGTTACAAATGGTGTCAATAAATTTAGAGTTAATTTTAAATTCACTGTCCTACGTGAATAGTCTAGATTGGGTTAAACAATTGGTAAAATTAATGTTAAATAGCAAGTTTTTTAATTTCAAGGTAAATATTTCCTACAATCGGAAGGTATACCAATGGGATCCTGCATAAATCCTAGTTTAGCAAAGTTGTGAATGATCATAATTAATAAAGAAATCAATAAAGCTCGAGGTATAATAAGTTATCAAAGATATAGTATGTGGATGACTATTTTATTGTCTGCGATGAAAGCATACCAGATATTGACTACTTGGTTAAGGAAATTAATTTAATAAATAAAAATGTTCACTTTCACTGTGAAAAAGCAGTAGATAATAGTCTGAATTATTTATAACTTACTGTAGTAAGTGTGACCGGAGGGTCGGTACATCTTTGGCACCCTGTAAGGATAACAGCACTGTGTCCTTAGAATAGGCACAGAAAAAACAACTTTAGAATTTGCACGGGCGATCGGATTCAAGATTGAGATAACGTGAGAGACAGCGTACGAAGTGACTAACTCAGATTCAGGTTTAATAAACAATAACAATTTCATTACAACGGGTAAGAGTACAAAATATAGCCAACTATAATAGACATCTTAAATATATATATATATATATTAGCCAATCAAATCTAGCTGTCGCTAGAGAAACAGAGAGAGAAAGAGAGACAGTTTACATGAGATATGCGCATGGATAAATACCTTATAGAGAAGTCGAGGATCTTGATATGATGCAAGCAAGCCAAATAAATCGAACGAGAGGAAGTTTTTACTACAGATCCCCGCTAGGTAATCTGTAAGGATCAATTAGATGATATACAAAAATGATAAATCTGTATAATCCACAGGTATTCGACGATTAAAAGTTAGGAAGATACTGGATGACTCGATCGATGAACTGGCGACGACCTTTTCTACGACGATTCATAATTCACACACCTTAGAATTCGAGTTGATGACTACTGCCTCGCTTGTCCTCCCCTCCTTTTATTTATAGAGAGCTTCGCCTGTGTTTTTGCCCATGACTACGCTAAAGTTTTTAGTACATCGGGACCAATAGTTAAAATTCCACTTTTAGGTTCCAAGTGACAAAGTGAGTGTGTCACCTCTAACAAGGAAACAAGTCTGTGGGAAACTGTTTTAATTGTTTTTGACTAACTTTGTGTCGAAAACAAAAATCAACAAAGGTTTTTTTCATTGTACTAAATTCGGCACTCACATTAGAAGAAATAGTAAATTATTATTTAAAAATATGTTATAGAATGTGCTACCAATAAAGTTATAAGCTACACTTCAACTCTAATATACCTCTTTATAAATATAAAAAAAAACACATATCAGATGCATATTAAATGATAGTGTCAAGCGTATTCTCACAGAAAACAATTAATTAAAAAGAAGACTACAGAAACACATAGAAATTCTGAAAATACAAGAAAACATTAGAATTAATAATAACGTGCGACTGAAGCTACATGACAGCTGAGATGAGACGACATTGAAAAATAAAAATTGTAACAATTTAGTTGGCTTCACACAGTCTTGTAAATTTAGTGTATTTGTTTTGTTTAAGGTCTGGAAACCAATATAATATATAATCGAGACGAGTTGATGATAATAATAATAATAAGCGCAGAGCCCAAACGGTTTGAGTTGAAAGTTAAAATTTGGTACACAGATAGGGTACATCACGAAAACGCACACTAAAAAGAGATTTTTCGAAATTCCACCCCATGGGGGAGAGGGACATGATTAAAGCTTAACACTTCCATCAACAATGGAAGTGTTAAGTAACAATGAAATTGTTAAGAGAAAGTGACGTGCAAGACGCAGATGCAGATTTTTTCGTTTTTGTAAGAAATCAAACATATTTTTAGACCCATCTAAAAATTCTCTAATTAGTCTGGAAACAAGAGGACCCAATTCTTGCATTCTGCGAAAACGAGTAAGGTCGACTGTAACGTAATAATCTTAATCTTAGGGCGCGACTTTGCAGATGTAAGCAAACGAATTTTTCGAGAGAGCGAGAATATGCGGCGAGAAGAGGCTAGACGCGATAAATATCAAAACCTGTCAGATATGTCCGAGAACCAGAAATTTGCTCTCGCCAGCGTTATTTCTCGCTTCGCGTTTATGCGTGGTTTTCCTTTGCAAAAACTAAATTGCTCGCAACCTTTCGCTCGCTTTATTACGGATTTCAAATAATTCTCAAGAAAGACACAATATGCTGCACTATTATTTAATAATATCTTAATTACATAATGCTTCAGAATACAACTCTTATGGTCTCAAAAATGCGTTAGCTTTACCTCAACGTTCGAAGGAGTCGTGCGATATGTTTTTAGTTCTGTGAATAAAAATCGCCATTTTTTGCTTGCTCGCTGAAAGTAATGAGCTCTTGTTAAGTCACCAATAGCATTACTATTCAACAATACGTTGCTCCTGTTTAAAAAAGACACCTTTGTTAAAGATTGTTAACGTCACATTCTATATAAATGCTTGAAGACACGAGATCTGAAAACAAGTAAAACGGCAAAGCTCTATTTGGGACAAGACTATGTCTCGGAGACTCACTACTAAGTGGAATCGCTCAAGAGGGTCTCGTTTTCATTCTCTAATCTTCTTTGGTATCGCTGCTTTTAAGCGCGATCGTTCAAACTTTGCCGGCCATGACCACGAGGTCGTCCACGAAGCATTTTCGATGAAATTAACCTACCCAGGTATACCCTATTTAATGTCGAAATTTCTTTTCGTTGCGTGACGGCCAGGTTTGAGTTTTTGTGGATGCGAAAGGAAAATTTTCCGTTCTTGAAAAACATAATCATGGCTATTGTATCGTCCGAAATTATTATTTTTATTTTGCACAAACAATATACAG